CTTTACGATAAGGTCATTCACTTCACGCGAAAATTCCTCTCGAACAGCAAGTGGGATCCGCCGCGTTGGTAAAACAACGGGCGCGGCTGGGTCGTTTATGTGAAGTGTCACAGTTCCTGGTAACTTTCCCAGTTTTCCACCGAAAACGGGCATACTTTTTCAGGTAGTATTCAGTGTCCTCACAAACGTCACGAACAAATGAATCATAGTTAAACGATACCAGACCAAGTCGCTCGATGGATTCGTATCCAAGGATTGGAACATAACCCGGCTCCACAACGACAAATCTCACGACAGAACAGACTCCGTTTCTAGGATTCTTCAGTGTAACAGTGGTTTCTCCTTTCGGCTCCACGTTTGCACCGTTCCACATAACCAATCTCGTCTGGGTATGGTCCAATTTGGTATCGGGTACGAAATTTATCGATACTATGTTGACGGACGCACCAGAATCTAGTTGGAACGTTACTTCTTCTCCGTTCCCCAACATTTTTGCCTTCCCGTTTGGCCGGTAGTTGTACAACATTGACACGATCAGGTTCTGAAGTTGATTTTTTCTTCACGAAACACTTTGCTGCAAAATGATTACGCTTTTTGCAGTTATCACACGTTTTTCCCCAAGCAGGGCAGTTGCTTCTTCCCATAGGATGTATGCGGCCACAGAAACGGCAAGCAGCTGTTGGATGTGTTTGATTTTCAGCGGCAATTTTGCACAATCGATAATCAACTGTTGTGGTAAGCGTCTCCATATGCCTCTCTGCTGCCTCTTCACTCCGACATATGGCGGTGCATTGTTTCAATGTCAGCTTTGGAATTTTTAGGAGGCGCTTCATCACAGCAGAATCCCGTAGGCCACGACCATTCGATCCCTTATTGTACTCTCTTCCAAACAGGTACAGAAATTGCACGACCGAGCCAGTGATTTTAGGGATAGGACGAATGCGTCGAGGGACTCAGCGAGCTGCTGTCTCCTCTGGTTGAAAATGTATCGTTCGTAAGTCTCGTTGGATTCTCCAAGACAGTACCGCTTCATCTTCACCATCACCACTTGTAAATTTCCTCCTTACAGTCCTCATCCGGACTGTAAGTGAATCCATATATGACACGCAGAGCAACCGGACCAATCGTGCGACGGAATAAAGCCCATTGAACGGGGCCGGATTCACGGTCCATCGCGTTCAGTGTACGAAAGTCTCCATATTGTGTTCGCCACAGTCTCCAGTTGACAGCCAATCGCCCCGTCTCCTCCATAGTCAGGTACGCCGGCAGTTGGACCTGTAGTCGACTATTCAGTCTCTCCGACATTGGTAATTTCGCATCATTTTCCGATGCCACCATGTCAAAAGTCGGTTCTTCAGGAAATGCTCTCGATATATTTGCTCTAGTCCACTGGACACGAATCACATTTAGGAAGGGAATCACACGCGTGTATAAATAAACCTGGACCCATCAGATTGTTCGGTCTGCAAAATTAAAGCCTTATACGGAACAATAATAAAACACAACTGATGCAGTAAAACAAACAATCAATTTAAACAACACTTTCCAACACACAATAGGCATCAGCTTTGTAACTGACTCATAACAAAAAGTTGAATTTGAATGTTACTAATGGATGTTCCGCTTCATATGATTACATTCAAGAGATAACCAATTTACGCTACAAAACTCTGCTCATACTCAGACAATGAAATATACCGAGAAGTGAATTCGAGCTGACCAATGGGACAGACCTAGAATGCGTGGGAGAACGGGATCTACTGGACGGACAAGAAAACGTCAGACAAGGACGAGGAAGCATTCAAAAACAAGAACGGACTGGGATGAATGAAAAGAAGAAAAACAAGAAAATCTTGAAATAGGAGGCATGAAGAAAAACAGTATTCATGAAGGATTGACAAATAGGCAGATAGATATACAGACAGACAGACAGATTAAAACAAACGTGAAAACTCACCCCGCAACCGAATTTCTCCAAAGCAGCAGCCACAGCATCTGCACTGGTTGTTGATGTAGTGATCACAACTGTCTCATGGTCGGATGCATTTTGCGGTAACATGTACCTGGCAGTTCATCAGGTTCCGAATTCAGTGCACAGAGCCGAATGGGAATGAAGTAGAAGCAGTAACCGGAAAAACAAACAGACGAGAGCGGGATGTCGCGGATCGGATTAGACAGATAGAGTTCTACGGTGAATGGGAGTAGTAATCGGACCATACAAACAAAGATCAGAGAACAGATTTGACGGGGGCACAGAACAATATGTGGTGGGTGTTTGTGATCCCGAAAGCCTCTCTGAATACGTCTCACACAGGTGCACGCAAGCACACACACACACCCATGCGGCTATCTGCCGCGGGGAGAGATTTCTGTCATCCTCGCCCGCCTAATGTGACCGGGCTTAATACGCCCTACAATGTGAAACGTTCAAGTTCATATTGTCTCAATCCGGGGTGGGGATTTCATGATTTGAAACATCAGTATATTTTTACGATATGAAGATATAAGACGAGCAAATAAAAATATACCTACTGCTAATCCTTTGTGCCTCGCTCAATCTGTCAATCCCACGCATTTCGTGATATCAGTATCGGTCTAAATTTCATCCTCGTACAGCAAAAAATGAAGTGAGCCTAGCGGCTAAGCTACCAATTTGCTGCATATAATTATTACGAATTCAGGACACAATGTAGGCGAATATATGTTCTCGGCAAATTCTTTTTCAAGCCTTTACAATCACATTTATGTGAAAGGTGGATGAGACATGTATTCGGTTATCAGACCGAGAGAACTCCAAGTTTGTACGCTGTTTGGATTACGTAATCAAAATTTCCTATGTTACGTCACGGTCATATGGACAAGCGATTTTCTCTTCCCTTAGCCAGGGAGAGCTTGGATCAGTTTTCGTTATGCGCACAGCTCAGGCTTGAGTCGGATGCTAATTGCCTCTGCGGTTTGCTAAAGTCCGAAGGGTGTGGTGAGACTCGGTAAATAATTGCAAATACCGAGTGCAGGTCAAACAAGTTTTCGGTTTCTACCAAATGAGTAACAATCGAGCATGACACAGTTCCACTCTCACCCCGTGTGAGCTAGCGTGGTTTGTGTGCTTTGATCCGTTGAGATATCGTTCGACTTACATAAGTCGCACCACAGATGCACTTGAACTGATAGACAACCATAGAATCTGCAAGGCGGATAAAGACTGAGTTGGTTTTGAGGGGTGTGAACCGATGGGAGGGCAGAGGGCAGTGAACCTCTATGATCAACGTACAGAGCACTTTGTTGAACCACCAAACAATAATATCACTGCGGGCGGTTCCTGGTTATGTCATTCAGTGTCTCCAACTAATCAATGACAGAGTTTTTTGGATCCCAGAATGGAGGATCAAAAACGCCTGACTCTAAATAATTTCTCCAAGCATTTCTTCAGGCCTCGTATCCACGTTATCTGTCCACCCGAAACATGGAGCACTAACTGCAAACCAGGCCCGATTACGAAGTGTTCATCCTAGACACTTCGTGCAACCTCGACGCCTGCAACATCAAGTGAGCGTAAGAAGCCGAATCGCCTGATACAAAGAGTGAACAGCGCGGTTGAGATTGGACTTGGGGAACCCGGAGTGACAATCGCATGCGTATTCTAGAGACACGGCATACATCCAAATTGGAAGTTTCACAGGTTCTAGTTGATTTGAGAAAATGCGCGGACAATGAATGTGGTTTGATGAAGGAAAATCAAGGTCTGATAGATCGATAAAGTCACCACTTTCAACAATCAACGGTCGTGTATCTGATGTGTCTCGAAATCAAGGCAGACAGACTGGGGGTTGCAAGAATACGGAGCAGATGCACGATCACCTCTGTTTGTGACACTTAACCGTATCAATCAGTGTCTCTAACCCTTGGTTACCATGATCTCAAGGTCCATATCCAGAGAGTTTAACAGGACCTATTTGACCGAGTCTCGGAATCAGGGCTTTCACACCCTCAGGTTGCGTCTTAGTTTGACCGCCCCTGATATTGTTCCGGTAGTTGTAGTCGAACAGTACAAAACGGGTGTTGAAGCACAAAGAACCACGAGTATTAGCTAAACCCATCACCTCATGTGATACATAAGTCGTTGCTTGTGAAAGTCAACTGGTTCTTCAGTTTCTGATCTGATATTCGCATTGTAGTTCCCCTCTCGTGTAAATTATTGTAGTTTCGCACGGTTGGAGACACTGAAGGTCATGGTAGCAAACCGACAGTAGTGGCGATCACGCTGTCACTTTTCATCAGATCAGAATGCTTGAAAAGTCTGTATGCACAGCTGGACTGTGCTCTCGGTGTATTGACCAAACGTCCTCCTTACACATTATGAATTTGGCAGCGATCAGTGTATTACGCTGTGAAATGATGAGGATGGTTGTAGTTCTCCTTTCCTGCAGACTATTAATCGATTCAACTATGCTGTACAGCAACCATACACTATACATTGTGGATACGGGGATTGGATTATCGACAGTTCGACCGAATGCCGAGTCTTCTTAGAAAGCAGATATTGGCCTTGACAATCCACCGTTCTCATTGTATTCTTGTGTGAACAGAATGAGGAAAGACGTCTCGTAAAACGAATTCCGATTAAATTTGAATGTATTCCTTATTTGTGTTCCGTATAATGCCAATATAACGGTTGTCTAGTAATCACGGGCATAAACCGATCGACCAAGGATTGTATGTTGAGTAATGTTGACATGTCTTTTAGCAACACTAGCGGATATTAGACTGCATACTCAGATACTCTTTTACAGGTCGATCGAATGGGTAACTGAAAACAACAAAGTAGAGGACCAATGTGCGCATTGGATGTGTGATAGTGTTCTGCGACTGAAAAAATAACTGACAACCGGAATAGCATAAACATCGTTAACAAGCGTTTTTAGATAGTTTGAGTGCCAGCGCAGCTATGTTCGGTATGCGGCCCGGTTGGCAATCGCCAACTTGAGACATCTGCGGCGTTGTCGAGACACCCGCCGTTCGTGAAGAGCCGAGGATATGCTGCAGCAGTACGATCAGCGCAGAAACGTGAACATTAGGAAAACAGGAAAAAGATAGACTGTAGGTATCGCTGACTACACAGCATTGTACGAATTTAATGGAAAAGCGGACAAGCAATGCTGAGACAAGATGCAGAGTTTTGGGTAACCGCGAACGTCCACTGGAACAAGTGGTTGACCTCCATAGATTACGCGGGTTGTGTTACACACGTCCCCTAATAGGTTGCCACGGTGTGTTATGTTTATCTAGGCACGCAGTGGGTGGAAAAAAACCATGATCAAAATAAGATCTGGTATGATTGTATGAAAACTCTAACCAGGAGACTCAGTCATATAGGTCACGTTAGGCTCCCAGGTTGGGGACCTCGGGATCACTGTAATCAATGAATAGAGACTACGAGTGATATGGCGTAATGTTGTAAACAGTGGCGTCCGCTCATCTCGATTTCATTGCAACCTTACTACTGGAACTCTACTGGAACTCTCCATTATCTCTTCGATTCTACTTTCAACTTCCCAATTTGTTTCCTGCTGCTTCACCCAAATGGGTGCACGAAAGTGCATGGTTAACGATTGTACAAACTGAAACTGAAAATTCATCTGCATACACACACATATTTCATCGTGCAATAGAGGGGGGGGGGACCAACACTACGTACCCCAAGTCCCCTGCATAGATCTTGACAGAGAACACTGTCTCTTCGGGTTCCTTGGCTCGGAGAACAATGGACGGCTGTTTCACATCAAATCGTAATTGGCTCCGGAAATTGGCGTTCGCGTTCAATTTGTTCTCACGACCATCTGCGAATCGATCAGGCAGTGAATCCGAGAGGTTTAGGAGAGATCGCGGGAGAGAGAGAGAGGGGATTCGAAGAAAAAGAGAACTCGATCAGTAGATTGTCGATTACAACCAAATGAAAGCCAAGAGAACACACGCTATGGGTGATAGATAAGAGATATTCGCCGATGAACATCTACCAGCTGTCTGAGGGATCAGATGACACGATGCGTCTCGATGCCAAAACGGTTGCCATTTAACGAAATGATCTCGATCGATAATGTATGCGTGAATGGGGACAGTAATTTTGGTGCCTCGAAAGAGCTGATGGCACAATCCAATAGGTTCGTAAGTAGTGTGGAATGTCTTTATAACCCCGGTTAAGTTATTGATGTTCAATTCTTAGTGTCTTTCAGGGCACCATTTTGACCCCTTTCTATTTTTCCCTGTGCATAAACAACCTGCCTATCGCTACCACGCCTATAAGTATGCTAACGATGTGGTGATTGGGTTCTCCTCCAATACTGATGTATCTTTCTACCAACTTCAAGGCAGTCTGAACAACGTTTTTAGTTGGTCCCTATCCCGATCACTTATGTTTGATGTTTCCAAATGTATTGACGTTCACTCCAACCTTAAATCAGGCTCCCGTAATCAAGCTGCTTTTATTGATTTCCCGGACATCGTCGTTAACAGTCACAGCATTCCCAAAGCTGACTGTGTTAAATACCGCGGAGTCGTTCCATCCCACAATCTCTCTTGGATTAGACATGTAGAGAACGATTACAACAAGGTTCGTAAACTTTCTTCTTATGCTTTCATATTATTTTCCTTCCCGATTTAGTGACATAGCCGGAGATGTTCTGATTAATTTTATTGTGTGCAAGCATATGGACACCTGCGAAAAGATAGTATCTTGAACAATGAAGATCATTGCTTGAACAACAAACTTCTTAAATCCATGTCAGACTCCCGCACCCGCTCCCATGACAAGGTCTTGTCCGAACGCACCGTCATATATGGAAACAGCAGCCTCCCTTCTCTTGCTCGCTTCTTAGTAAATCGGGCACCAATTATTACAGATCTGGTGGAACACGTCATGAATTAGTTCATATATTCATTTTAATCTATCACTATCGTCTTCCTGCTTGCAGTTTACTGTCGTTTTTGTTTACCCTATTCACATTCTGATGACCACTTCTACTGTATTATCGTGAAAAATTGCTAAAAATTCACCCTTCGGGTGCATAAAGCTTAGTTTCACTTGACCTGAATTAGGTGATTGACATTTCATCACTAGCCGCGATGTCATTTGCAATACGTCTCTTTGATGAGACCTAGCGAGTGCCTATTTGTTTATATAATATGTTAAGTGACTTGGTATTCGTGGAAATTTCCAACTGGTTGTTCACCGTGCTAACTGAGTCGAGGGACAGTGGAGTCAGCAAGGTGTATTTCGCTGTTTATCATTTATCAATCAATTTGTGGTCAAGTGCTGATCGATTGTGAATGGGCAAGAGTTTGCAGTGCTCGAGTGGCAGTGGTGTTCGGATTTGGTCAACGTCGCTGTGGATTGACAGAGATTTCGAATATGCTTTGAGAAAATTCGCTATTTCAAAAGTGAATTCGTCGTGTACATAGCAAATGAAGCGTGAACTGAAAAGCTAGGAAGCATTGGACAGTTGTTTCGACCTGGTTGGGTCTCACCAGCAGTGCGAATTAAACAACCCAACTGGGGATCCAACCCAAGACCTCATGGGCAGAACGCAAGCATGCTACCCACTCGGCCACCGGGCAGCTGATCAGACAGCTCGCAAAGATGGGTTGTGCTATATCGTGTGAACGGAAAATGAAAAAGTCTGATCAGCTGCCCGGTGGCCGAGTGGGTAGCATGTATACGTCCTGCCTGTGAGGTCCCGGGTTTGATCCCCAGTTGGGTCGGTGGATTCGCAATGCCGATGAGACCCAACCGGTTTGAAACAACTGTCCAATGTTTCCCAGCTTTTCAGTTCACGCTACATTTGCTATATACATCAACGAAGAGAATTTTCGGGCTTTTCGCAAGAAAAATCAAGCTCAAAAAGCCCTTGAGTAACATTCGGAAGATGGTCATATTTCTACACCTGGACGGAGAACCACTGGATCAGATAATTCGTTCAATCCTGTTGGAGGTACATGACTTACCACGATCATTTACTTCGTACACATTGTAGAAATCCGGGGTGCCGGCCAGGTGGAACGTTTTCAAACATTGTTTGACAGCCGAATAGGTGGACATGGTTTTGGAGAAGCTGAAACTTCGCCAACTGCGACGCTTGAGGCCACCGATCCCATCAAACACGCAAACGTATTCTGCATGGAGGGAAAAAAAGATTGGTTACACGAGTGTATGCGAGGCAGTTGCTAGTTCTATACATGGGTGTACAAAGAGTGTGGATTCAGGAGAAAATAAAAACCTACGGAGTGCAGATAGAAGGCCAAAACTAACAAATGTAAGGATTCCGTAATACAATCTGAAATAAACAACATGTTATCAACGGGTGGTAGTGGCGCAGTGATTAAGTCTCTCTCACCGGCGTGCTTTGGACCCCATGGTCTGAGGTTCGAGCCCCGCC